TCAAGGCGATCGACGGCGCTGATGGGAAGTCCTGAGGCGGTCATTGTTGCACTATCATATAGACAGGCTTTTCGCATAATATACAAACACTGCGTGCTAAGCCTCGGTTAAAACATGGCTCTCGAGAACGGGTTGCAAGCCTGGAGGGGTGTGTCAAGAAAAATGTATGCTCCTCGCTTCATCAATTGCGCACCATCGTTCTGGAACAAGTGCTGGCGCCCCCGTCCGTAGCCCATTTCGCTCAGACCTCGGGCTTTGCAGCGTCTACCGCAGTTTCGGATGCAGCCGCCGCGGGCTGCTAAGATGCGCAGGCTTAATGAGTTCCGTCGTTCCAAGCCTCACTGTGCGGCTTCTGCTTCAGCGGCAATTCTGGCGGACGTGAGGGGCAATGGCCCCCCAGAAGTCATAGATCGGAATTCCATGCGTGCCGCGAGGGATGCTGTTGCCACAACTGTCGGCCAGTACGGTCCTATAGTGCAAAGCTTCACGTGCATTGATGCAGGGGGAAAACCAACTAGCATGCCCACCGCCTGCCCGTTCGCATCCTTAGCGGCAGCTGTCGAAGAGAGTGCCAAGTTTCGGAAGTTCGTGAAACGCCAGCTGATGCTTCACCCATCGACGCCCGAAAAGCCATGGAACTTGATTTTGTATTCTGACGAAGTCACACCAGGGAACCCCTTATCACCAGCGAACCAGAGAAAATTCCAATCTATGTATTGGAGCTTCTTGGAATTCGGTGTGAGCGCGCTCAGTCACGAGGAGAGCTGGTTTGTGCTGATGACTGAATTCTCCCGTTCTGTGAATTCCCTCTCTGTTGTGTTGGGCCAAGCATTCGCTGAGGCTATTAAATGTTTTTTTCAAGCCTGATGGCTTTCATTTCCAAGACGGTGGAATGGCCCTTGACTTAGACGGGGATAGCTTCAGGCTGTCTGCTAAAGTCGGCGTGGTGTTGCAAGACGGGGCGCTCATAAAGCTGTTTGGCAAGCAAGGGGCGACGGCGCGTCCAAGTTTTGCATGCTTTGTAAGAATATGTGCACAGCCGATTCAAGGGTTGTCAATGGGGATGGTTCAGCCATGTTGCGTTGCAACGAAAGACATCTCGATGAGCTCGTGGCGTCCACTGACCATGAGCTTCGCACCAATGCCAGGTATCTGGAGCGCATGTCGCGAACTCTGTCTACTGAAGAGTTCGTGCTGTTGCAGCAGGCGCTGGGTTTAACGTTTGCTAAGCGAGGCTTGTTGCTCGATAGAGCCTTAGACAGGCTGATCAACCCAACAGAGGTGTTTATGCATGGCTACATGCACGCGCTGTTCGTCGACGGTATTGTGAATCTCGTGATCTACCTATTTTCGAAGGGTTCATATCTGCTGGGCTTAATGGCGTGCGGGAGTCATTATCTGACTTCTTGGCAAATTGGGTGTTCCCTGGAAGATTTCACGCGACGCATTTAGGCAGCATTTTCAATGCTGATCGGAAGGACAAGCACAGAATGGCCCAACACGTAACATGCCAGGCGTCTGATCTATTGTCTATTCTTGGCGTGCTGATGCGATTCACTCAGACGGTCCTCCGACCTATGGGGGCAGCCAATGCGGCTTGCGACGCGATGGTAGCTTGCGTTCAGCTGTCGCAGCTGGTAGTTGCAACCAGTCGGATCGACGTGAGCCCAGCGAGGCTTCTAGGTTGTGTTCATAAGTTCTTGGAATATTTCACTGCTGCTTTTGGATATGAGTCTTTGACGCCAAAATGCCACTGGCTTCTCCACCTCCCTGAGCTACTCGAAAGAAACGCGAGGCTCTTGAACTGCTTCGTCCTTGAGAGGAAGCATAGAATGCCAAAGAGATACGCCACCGAGCTGGCGAACATCTCTGGGTCAGCCAGCCAGTCGTTGCTGAGCGAATGCGTTGCCCATCACCTGTCAGCAATAACGAGCCACATTTTCAATTCTGACGTCGGCTTGTTGCAGGGCCGCAAGGCGCCCAAGAAGAGCAGGCAGCTGATCTTGGACGCATTGGGTTTGGAAGGTGATGATATCCCAGTGAATGTAGGTAAAGATTCTCGCTTCAGCCAGCTCGGCTTATGCACGCAAGGGGGCGCTGTGCTTTTGAACGGCTCCGATGGCGTACTTGCCGCCCGCGTGAAGTTGCATGTCGCAGTCAGTGGAGAAGCTGTTTCTATGATGGAGGTTATGGAACTTTCTCGGCGCATCCCTGGCACGGCAAAGGCAGTGTGGAAACTTTCTGGGACTCCAGTGGAGTGCTGGGAAACCAAAGCTATTTTGGCTGCAGTAGAACACTGCGTGTACGCAGACGGCACCGTCGGCGCTATCCTGCCATTGGAGTTTTCATGATGGGCTTTGCTGGCGCTTTGCGCCCAGGAAAAAAGAATTCGCATGCGCTTCGCGTAGCCCCGCCGCACAGCCCATCCAGAAACGATGTCTGCGCATTTAAGCCATTGCGGCTGAAGGCAACGAACAAGAGGAGGATGCGAAATGAGGGGGGCTGCTCCGCTTCTCCTCCTCCTCATCCTTCTTTCTCCTGCTGCCTCCTCCTCCTCCTGCAGGCGCCTGAAACCGCGGGACCCCGACGACGACCACGACGACAGATGGAGAGGCAGAGACGACATTCGGCGGCGGACCTGGCGCTACGCGCCCGCCCCTACATATGCGGTGCAACCTATGTGGTGCAACCTATGTGGTGCATTATGTGCTGTGGTACAACCTATGTAGTGCATGCTAAGCGGTGCAACCTGTAGTGGTGCAACCTATGTAGCGCGGTGCAACCTATGCGGTGCATCCTACGTGGTGCAACCTACGTAGTGCAAACTGATGTGAGAAGTAACAAAGGAACTTATGAAAACGTTGTATTTTTATGGTTTGTTAAAGCGAACGCTACAGTTTATAAAGTTTATAACTCTGTTTTGGATAACTGCTGATAAACTTTATAACTTCGCTAAACTTTAGCTAAACACCCTAAACCTGAACAAACCAAGGATGCATCTCAGTATGGGGCCTCTTGGGACCCTCTCGGCCCGTCTCGGGGCTCCCATGCCGCTCTGGAAACTCACGCGGCAACGCGCGACCAGGAACCCCAGGAAGCACGCGACAACATTCGGGACTTAGGGGCCTGGCCCGTTGACTACTGAGCGCTCATAGTATGCAATATGGAGGACCCTTCGGGACCTGATGGCGCTCTACACAGTGCCTCGCAATCTGGTGACGGATATAAACACGGTGATGCGTTTTTGTCGATCTTTCTCTCTCTCTCTCTCGCTCTCTCTCTCTCTCTCTCGCTCTCTCTCTCTCTCTCTCTCTCTCTCTCTCCCTGTATATGTGTGCTGTAGACGCAGATGCGGTCGGGAGAACTGCTGCTTTCCTCGCGCCCTCGCCGCAGGTCCTGGCCCACCACGCCGCGGCGCGACACGCCGACCGCTTCCCAGCTCTCCCGGGCGTCCGCGCCCCGAGGGCCCCTCGCGGGGCCTCCCCGCCCCCGCGGAGCGGAGCGCCACGCCGCCCGCCCTGCTGGGCGCCGCGCGTCGCCGGGGCCGCCGCGCCGCCGACGCGCGCGCCGAGGAGGCCCTGTCTCGGCGGCGGCGGCGGCAGGGGGGCGAGCAGCGCAGGGGGCGAGGCACTGCACGCGCGGTCGCCCCGGGGGGAGCCTCGCCGAAGGCACGGGCCGTCGGCGCCCCTGAGACGCGTGCAGGGCTCCCCCCCCGGGCTAGGCGCCTCCCCCTCCTCCTCCTCATCCTCGTTCTCCTCCTCCTCCTTCTCCTCATCCTCCTCCTCCTCCACCTCCTCCTCCCTCCTCCTCCTCCTCCCCTCCCCTCCTCCTCCTCCCCTCCTCCTCCTCCTCCTCCTCCTTGACCTCCTCCTCCTCCTCCTCCTCCTCCTCCGCCTCGTTTCTCCTCCCCCTCCTCCTCCTCCTCCTCCCCTCCTCCCTCCTCCTCCTCCTCTCCTCCTCCTCCTCCCCTCCTCCTCCTCCTCCCTCGTTCTCCTCCCCCTCCTCCTCCTCCTTCCTCCTACCTCCTCCTCCTCATCCTCACTCCTCCTCCTCCTCCTCCTCCCCGCCTCCTCCTGCCTCGTTCTCCTCCCCCTCCTTCTCCTCCTCCTCCTCCTTCCCCTACCTCCTCCACCTCCTCCTCCTCCTCCACCTCGCTCCTCCTCCTCCTCCTCCTCCTCCTCCTCCTCCTCCTCCTCTTTCCTCCTCCTCCTCCTCCTCCCCCTCCTCCTCCTCCTCCCCGCCTCCTCCTCCTCCTCCTCCTCCCCTCTCCTCCTCCTCCCCGCCTCATATCCCTCCTCCCTCCTCCCCCTCCTTCTCCTCCTCCTCCTCCTCCTCCTCGTTCTCCTCCCCCTCCTCCTGCCTCCACCTCCTCCTCCTCCTCCTCCTCCTCCTCCGCCTCCTCCGCCTCCTCCACCTCTCCTCCCTCCTGCGCCTGCTCCTGCTCCTGCTCCTACCCTCCTCCTCCTCCCTCCACCTCCTCCTCCTCCTCCTCCTCCTCCTCCTCCTCCTCCTCCTGTTCGAAAAAGAGCGCCCAGGGACAACGCGCAGAGGATGGCGCAGGAGCGCCCCCCGCGCCCCCAGTGTCAATGTTCGTCTAAGGGAGCGGGCCGCGGTCTGCAAATGTGGGCGTTCCTTTCCGAAGCGACTCGCGCTCCCCCGCGTCGACCAGCCCGAACTTTACCATTGGGGCCGGGGGGGTGGACCCGCTTCAACACGCATTCGAGATGTGCGTTTTTTTCGAACACCACCCCTGGCTCCTGATCCGCCGTACTTTGGATGATTTTCCGACCTAAAATTGTGTCGGAAATCGACGCCAAAGGAGCCTCAAGGGCGGAAATCGACGCTCAAAGGGGCCTCAAAAGCAGGGCGGAAATTTCCGCCCTACTTTCGAAATCGCCCAAAGTAGGGCGGATCAGGAGTCAGGGCCGCTTCCACACGCATTCGAGCTGTGCGTTTTTTTTTTCGAACACCACGACGACGGTAAGCGGCGCGGCCTGGAGGCCCGCAAGCTCTTCGAGCTCCTCAACCTGCCTGCGTCGGGCGCCGCGTCCGCGGCGTCCTCGGCGGCGCACCGCTACCGGGACCTGGACGCCGTCTGGGAGCACCCGCGGACGGGGGCGCGCGTCTTCATAGGAGCGCAGGGCGAAGCCGTGGTCCCCAGAGATCCAACGTATTGAAAACATCGAGACGGAGGTTTTTCGCAAGTTTCGGCCTCAAGGGGCCCTCGCCGGGCCCCGGGACCGTGAAAAAACGACTCAGGATGAAAAACCGGTCCCGGGGAACGGGTCGAGACCTCCGGGGGCCCCGCATTGAAAAAATCACGACGTCGGATCTCTGGGTCGTCGTCCTCCGGAGGTTGATAGACCTCCTGCCCTGACACGTCGATTCGTGAATTGGCCGTTTTCAGCTCGCGAGAGGGCGTCGCGGCCGTCCTTTTTGCGGGCTCCAGGTCCGTCGGTTTCGGTCCCAGGCCGTTTTCATTGAAGGGAGGTTTACCAAAGGGAGGTTTGTCCACCGCCGAGTCCTCCTCCCCCGAGATCCTGGCGTCGCACTCTTCGGCACGCCAGGCGACTTTGCCATCTCTCGGGCCCCCGGGGGCCCTCACGGCTCGATCTGGCTCGAAGGATGCCGCAGAAGACGGGAACCAGGGCTCCAGTCGAGGATGTGTACGATGCTGCATTTTTCTCGCGACGTCGGATCTCAGGGTCCTTTCCCTCCTCCTGCTCGTCGTCGTCGTTGCTGTTGTCATTGTCCTTCCCCATCTCCTGTCTCGCGCCCTCGCAGCTGCACGCTGCAAGAGACGGGCCAACGCGATCCAGGCTCGCTGCATCGAGCTGCGTCCTCGCGGGGAGCACACTGCAGCGCCGGCGAAGACGTCGCCCGAGCTCTCCCGTCTGCTCCCACGCGCGGGGGGCACATCCGTGCCCGTGCCCCCGCGGTCTCGACGCCGCGGCGCGGCCCCACGGATGCGCGAGTCTCCCGTGGAGGCGTCCCGCGCGGGGGGGCCGCGCCGGGCCGCCCGGCGCCGCGGGAGAGCTCAGCCCTCGGGGCCGCGGGCTCGGACGTTGCTCCGCCCGCGGCACGCGTTTGGCGCGCCGGGGCGCCGTCCCGAGAGCCGCCGGCGCCGGCGGAGCGGCCCCCCCCCCCCCGCGCACCAGAGGCAATGCCTACGCCAGCAAGAGCCTCGAGACCCTGCAGAAGCACGGCATCACCCGCATCGTGAACTGCACCAGCGCCACGGTCGTGCGGTCGCCCCCCAGCAGGGGGGCCCCGGCGGGGCGAGGGGCGAGATCCCTCGTTTTGTTGCCGACCCCTCGCGCTCGCCCTGTCTTGTGGGGCCCTCGTCGCCGCGGCGGGGTCTGCGGAGAACTGTATGTGCCAGACCTCAGAGGAGGGAAACGTACCGAGGCCGCTAACCTTGGCCTCGTGTTCCCCTTGTGTCGGCTGCTTCTCGGAGGCCCTCGCCGCCACGGCGGGATGCGCCTCGAAGTTCTGGCCCGAGCGCGCCCCGGGAGAGATACGGGGGGTGGCGGTGGCGGCATCTGTTGTTCTAGGCCTCCCAGATGGGGTCCGAGTAGATGGGGTCGGAGGCTCGCGTCGCATCGCCGATGCATCGGCGATGCGGCTCGATGCGGGGCCCGATGTTCTTCGCGCCGGCGTCGCCGATGAAGCGACGACGTCGACGATGCATCGCCGGTGCATCGCCGATGCATCGCCGATGCATTGCCGATGCATCGCCGATGTATCGGCGATACGGTGCGATCCACCGACCCCATCTACTCCGACCCCATCTAGGAGGCCTCTAGTTGTCCCCCCCCTAGCTGCGGAAAACAGCCGACCACGTGCATCGTAGGCATTGTGTTGGCACTGGGAGGACACAATGGGCAGATCAAACTCTTGACGCCTGGCCCGGTTTCTCCTCTCGCCTCCCTCGTCTTCTCGCCTCCCACGCCTCCTCTTCCTCTCCTGTTCACGACCTTCCAGCTGCACATCGAAGTGACAAGCTCTGGGGAAACAGGCTTGTTGCATAGCCCCACTCTTGACGCCTCGCCTGTCCTCAGTGGCCTCTCTTGTATGTGCTCCCGCGCGAGTCCCACGAACTTTGGCCGTGGCTCTCTGTGGCCATCACCGGGGCCATCGGGGGCCATCTTGGACGCTTCGACCGCTCGCGGCCGCCCCCATCAGCGCACACCCGAGGCAAGGACTTCCCCCGACGGCACGGGCCAACCGCGGTCGCCAGGCGGTCCCGGGACGCGCCCTCGGGCCCCGGGGAGCCCCGGAAGAGGCCCCGCAGAGGCCGAGACAGAGCACGGGCAGGGCCCCCCCCAGCTCTCAAGGCCGAGGGTCTGCCCAGCAATGGCCACCAAGGGCTTCGCTCGGGAGGGAGCCCTATCATTGTCTTGTATTGTTTTTTCCTCGAGAGAGAGGTTTTCTTCGGAGGAAGTTTTGCGGTTCTCCTCGGTTTGGGTTTTTCTTCGGTTTGGGTTTTTCCTCGGTTTGGTTTTTTCCTCGGTTTGGGGGGGGGGTCTCGCCTGCGCCACGGCCGCCACGCCAGGCTGCCAGCCGCGTCCCCTCCGCGGGCAACGGGGGACGCTGCGACCCGAGCACCGAAGGAGGGGAACGAGCAACCTCAAGGGTTGTTTAGTTTTAGAGCCCCCACCCCCTAATCTCTCGGCGGTGAACAACACTGGTCCTAAAACCTCCTCGTCGCGGCGGCGGCGGAGATCCTTCTCCCTCTACTGTTGGGCGGGCGGGGTGTTTCGCCAAAGGAGGTAGTTCTGTTGTTGGGCGGGCTGGGCATTGCGACCCGAGGCCGAAGGAGAAGAACGAGCACTTCGGAAGAGTCGACCCCGGAAGCCATCTGCGCAGAGAGAGGGCAAGCGGGTTGCGAAGGCAGCCCGCGAGCAGGTGCCCCGAGGCGATCTCTGGCACCTGAAGACTCGTGGGCGTCGCAGGGGTCCTGACGGGGCACCTTTTGCGTTGCCACAGAGAGGAGGAAACGAAAAGGAGAAGGAGGAGAATGATGATGGTCAAGGAGGAGGAGGAATTGTGTCTGCAGAAGGAGGAAAGGGCAAGGAGAAGGAGAAGGAACGGAGAAGGAGGAAGAGAAGGAAGGAGAAGCAGAGAGAGGTATGATCTTGGAGGGGGGGAGCAACCATATATATATATATATATATATTTATATATATATATATATATATATAGCGAGAGAGAGAGAGAGAGAGAGATCTTGAGGGCGAACGGTTCGCGTGCCACCGGATTCGTCCCCAGACTGCGACGCTGCGATTTTTGTTCCCAGGGTGAGCCCCCAGAGGTCTCGACGCTTGCCTTGAGACCAGCTGCTCCCTCTTCCGTCGTGTGCTGTCGGGCCCAGGGCCCGGGGCCCGGAGAGGGCCCGCGCATGCCGACGCCAGCCACAAGCCTTCCGATATGTTTCTGTCAGAGCTCGATGATCCTCAGGACGTGTGTTAGCCCAATGTGTGGTTCCCCCTTTCAGCTCAACTGGTAGATCATCATATCGCCTGCGTCGTATCGAAGGGCCTCGATGGACAAACACACGTTGGGGCTAACACACGTCCTGAGGATCATCGAAAGGCGGGAGGGGCTGGGAATGTGCCATATGATCTCTGGCAGCAGGGTATCTTTTCGTATGCGCCTGCTGGACGCCCCCGACTCCTCCACGCCTGCAAAATAATTCCCAAGGGTTCTTTTCCCAAGAACCCTCCAAGAAGCCAGCGGAAGGCCCGCTGAAATGTCAAAACCGCCCAGCAGCATCAAAGCGCGGGAAACAATGGTTCGTCGACGACGACGGCGGCGTCGGCAGGTCTCTGGAGAAGAAGGAGGCGTGAGAGGAGGAGGAGGAGGAGGAGGAGGAGGAGGAGGAGGAGGAGGAGGAGGAGGAGGAGCCTGGGGAA